TCTTTGTTGCGCTGTCTACGTGCACACGACACGACCAATAAGCATTGAATGACGTCTTTTGATACCCAGTAGCCTGACATATGAGACAAATAGAGTACTTATTTTCAAAACAATTGGGAGTAAGGTTTGTTTGTAAGAACAAGTAACAATTCCTGATTCATTCTTTGAGAAATTATGACGCATCTGTTCAGAGGAATGCATAATTAATAATCAATTAACGTAAAGTACTTTTCCAGTTTTCTAGTCCCTTTACCACTAGCCTTAAAAACTACTCAAGCAAAAATGCAAGCGCTACACTTTTTGAAAAAAAATAAATACCGATATATATCTGTCCCATCCCTAGTTTCGAAATAGACATGCCACTTGATGACTCCTCCACTACCCAGCATTGAAACTGGAAGCAACACTATAGGAGCGCGATCTACACTCTACATAGAAATGGTTCCGCGTGAAAAAAATATGAAAAAATAAAAACAAAGGTTGAGAGATTCCTGGAGATTTCACGTTTACATATTTATCTACTTATCTATGCATTACATTTTCTTTGAGATCGTTATACGAAAAGTGGATACTCGACAAATCAGATACACTTAAAAATGTGCTTTCTGCGAATAGGATTTTTCTATTTTCTATATTTTTTCTGTAAGCTCTTATGCTTTAGTGTTAACATTCGATTTGAAACGAACAAACCAATTGAAATTAATTCGTTATCTATGCCACTGACATGCATATGAAGCAAGACAAAACCTGTATAGGATATAGCTATTTTGAAATACTTCGTGAGCTTAATTAATAACTTTGACCATTTATGACTACTTCAGAGCAATAGAAATGTCTCAATATCAATAAACCAACCAAATATACAATAAAACTACACCAATGAAAATTAAAAAAAATAAAACGTCAGACGAAAAGATAAAGCTGACCATAAACATTTTAGAATATTTATAACGCGTCCCATTCAATGGCTGAATATAAAAGATACAAAGGCTAGATTTCGCGGCACACGCCAAACAATGATTTTCCATTTCCGCTCACAATATGGCGAATCTTTTCACTGCTATCCGTTGTTTCTGATTGTTGAAAAGTTTTTCATTGCACCTGCAGTTTATATTAAAATGGTATAGAATGTAAAATGTTTTTATTGTAAATCGTTCACTGTGTAACGATAGTGTAATGAATGTATTGTTAAATGTTAAGTAACCAGCGTTTATTTATTAAATGGAAATATAACATTTAAATCAGCCATATTTAATTGAAATCTCATAAGTAGGCACGGACATTAAAACTATTAATCTATTTGTAAATAAATTACCCAATTGAATAACTAATAGAGGATTGAACGACGACTTCGTCTATCCCAAGCGAGAGGGTTAAAATGAGGAATGTTTACATTGAATTAAAAAAAAACTGACAGTTCAAGATAATGATTATCAAACCAAGCAAGAGGTCTACTAAATTATTATGTTTTCGGCTGTCGCGCTGCTACTCTCAATCAACGCTACAACGCCGCGTCGCGGGTCGCGAAATGCTGCTCATGAATATGAGCCTCTAGCATGGCTTGAAACTAGTCGAGTTCCTCGTCAAATTATTACGTGAGTAAGCCGAAAACATAATAACTTATTTAGTACTAGCGACCCGCCCCGGCTTCGCATGGGTGCAATATGCATGTATTATACATACAAACCTTCCTTAAGAATCACTCTATCTATTAAAAAAAACTGCATCAAAATCCGTTGCGTAGTTTTAAAGATCTTTCTTTCTTTCTTCTTTCTTTTTATAAGAAACGTTGCCCCACACTAGGATTTTCTCCTGTGTCGTGGGTGCGTTTACAAACATACAAGTTCACATACACAATGACACCCAGACCCGAAACAACAATTTGTGGATCACACAAAGTGTTGTCCCGTGCGGGAATCGAACCCGCAACACGTTGCACGGCAGCCGGTTGCCCAGCCACCGCACCAACCGTGCAGTCACGGTCAGTCAGTACAGTCAGATGTCTCACGAAAGTTACAATACAAAAAAAGAGGTCTCGTGTCCGATATCGAACATTTTCAAATTTTCAAGTACAACGAAGGGCTGGAATTATGCTCAATTAACCAATGTCACTAACCCAAGGATATTGAAAAAAAGGCGAACAGTCTATTGATCCGACTGTGGCACCTGGCTACTATACGCTTATATGCAGAATACACACACATCGACACGAACCACATCTGTTGCGTGACATGACCCGTCACACATAACGACGTCGCAAGTAAACTACACGCACACATAAACATACTACTGACATTTTTTTTTTAACGGGAAACATCATCGAATGACTGCTCCCGCCTGGGTGAGGCGGGAGGGAGTGTCAGACTCTAACTGACTAAAAGCCACCCCGTTCCTTCTCCTACAAGTCGAGCCGGAGCCCCGGTTACCCGTTAGGTTCTCCGCGACATACTACTGACATTACGGTGCTTCAATCATTTCCAAGTGGCATTACGTCCGCCATTTTTTTCTTCAACTTTCTTGCACTAATCGATCTTAAAAATCTCTGGATCGCTCTCTGTGTTTGACAGAAGTTCCATAGTACAAATAATGTCAAAAATTCATGTTAACTAAACCTTTCTAATATCGTATCACAAGACAGTCGGGGAAGCGTCGCCGATTCATGGTAGATGTCCCACCCACACACACGAAGCGCTCCGCTTCAAACTTCCTTGTGCCAACTGCTAAGGAGTAGAATAACTTTGCCGGGGACTGTGTTTCCTGAAGGTTGAATATAACCTGGGTGAATTAAAGGCCCGATATGTTGCTTATGGGCAGTCGTGCTCCACCATAGACCGCATCATCGTTTACCACCTGGTGAGATGGTGGCCAAACGTCGCCCATCATCACTACATAGTATAAAACAAAGTCACTATCCGCCGTCTGTCTGTCCCTATGTATGCTTAGATCTTTAAAACTACGTAACGGATTTTGATGCGGTTTTTTTAATAGATAGAGTGATTCTTAAGGAAGGTTTATATGTATAATACATGCATATTACACCCGTGCGAAGCTGGGGCGGGTCGCTAGTTAAATATAAAAAAATCCCAAGATTTTGGCTTGAGATCATTATTAATTCTCCTCTTATATATATAACTCTTTAATCTATAATCTAGCTTTATTACAACTTACGTAGGTAGTATGAGTCGAAGGGCGAGTAATATTTTGTAAAGGTCGCCGCCGGTCGACTCATCCTGGGACGCTATGTACTCAACTAGAGGTTACAAAATGTTATGACGTCATAGGCCATCGACTATGACTTCTATGAGTATGTTATACAACCTTATTTTAGATAAATTATTATGTTTTCGGCTTACTCACGTAATTATTTGACGAGGAACTCGACTGAAACTAGTCTTGAAAATGCAATTCGCGGGTCGCGAAATGCTGCTCATGAATATGAGCCTCTAGTACCTATGGCTTGAAACTAGTCGAATTCCTCGTCAAATAATTACGTGAGTAAGCCGAAAACATAATAATTTATCTAAAAAAAAGGTTGTAAAACATAATAATTTATTTAGTACTAGCGACGCGCCCCGGCTTCGCACGGGTGCAATATGCATGTATTATACATACAAACCTTCCTTAAGAATCACTCTATCTATTAAAAAAAACCGCATCAAAATCCGTTGCGTAGTTTTAAAGATCTAAGCATACATACGGACATACAGCGAAAGCGATTTTGTTTTATACTATGTATTGATATATCACGAAACTTATAATACTTTTTTTCGATTATAACGATTTCGTTAAACTATAAAATATAGTGTCTAGTGTCTCGTCGGTTCAGTGTTCGATATACTTTTCGGATAAAGTATTATTAGGTAATTACTAAAAAACCTAAATTTGTATAAAACCAAAAATTACAACTTTAGAGTAAGTAGATTCGGAAAATAACCGACTTCATCCCGGTCTTTCTTCAGGTCGGTTTATTGATATACTAAAACATCCTAAGTGTATCAAATACCTACTTTTCTGAAAATCGTTTCAGCAAATCGCACAGACATACATACATACAGGTATAACTGCGAACCTCCTTGTTTTTTTTAATCGGTTAAAACATGATATACTTATTCGGTGAATTCGGTGGCACGAGTAAGTCAAAATATTGCCTAAGTGATTTTTTATAGGCCTCTTTTATATGGCCATGTAATAAATAGGTCGTATTATATCGTAAGTAGTTGCTAATGGACGCTTACACCCTGCTAAGATGTTATTTAAGACTAGACTGACATGCGGTTTTGCTTGCACGATTCGTTGTTAAAAGTAGTGTGGTATTTGACATTTTTTACAAATTCGTTTTTGATATATGGACCATTATTGCCTTGTTAATTTACTGTTTTGAGTTTTGTTACAACATTTTTTTTAAATAAGACGTTGCCCCACACTAGTATTACTATCTCCTGTATCGTGGGTGCATTTACAAACATACAAGTTCACATACACATGACACCCAGACACGGAACAACAGTCTGTGGATCACACAAAGAGTTGTTCCGTGCGGGAACTTAACACGCGCCACGTTGCGCAGCAGCCAGTTACCCTTACCCAGCCACCAGTGACCACATCAGTTCAGTCATGTCATGCATCATCCGTGCAGTCACATTATATTCGTTCGTAATACTAATCGTAAAGTAGAATGTTATGATAACGATACAAAATATTTTAATAAATCGACGCGTTTAAAAACATAACATAGCATCACGCCTTTTATCCCTGAATGGGTTGGGCAGTGGTGCACATTACGATACTTAATGCCACTGTACAATGTAACACTTATTTTACACTAATTATGTTATGAGTCTCATGTAACAGGGGGTGAGCCTATTGCCGATACTGAGATTAATTTTTAAAAGCCCAGTAACATTTTCCCGACCCGGAACACTTGCGACCACTCGGCCAAAGACGGCAGTCGATACGTTTAAAAACCAATCTCTAACCAAATATTTTGGTTTATTACTTACCTTCGGATCCAAATGAGTGCTCGATCCCTGCAACAAAATTAAATTTGACTTAATTTAGTTTAAAACAATAGATTACTATGATTTATTAGCGTTTTTATGACAATTCCTCGTTGTTTTTATAATAACTATCGTGAGACATACTAAATTAACTAAAATCGCGGGTTACTCACGTGAATATACATACTGAGCTGCGCGACGTCGTAGCGACTGCGCACGTGGTTCTCCTCTCTGTGGTTCGAAACTAGTAGAGCTTTTCTCAGTATATTCACGTGATTAACCCGCGATTTTAGTTAATGTCTCGTTGGTTGAATGGTTTTAAAATAGTCTAATAATTTGATCGACTTACTCACGTAACCGTTTGACAAGTTTATATGAGCCTCTAGCATGGTTTGAAACTAGTCGAGTTCTTCATCAAACACGTTACGTGGGTAAGCCGTAAATATAATAATTAATTTAGTATGTCTCACAACAGTTATTATAGTGTAATAATTTTTAAACTAACATTTTAATATTTATCGGTGTGCATCGAAAATAGAAGTAAAGCGCAACTACCATAGCTCAATAGTTTAAATTGACGAACTGTAAGCGAGGCTCCGACATGGCTCAAAAAAAAAACTAGAGCACACATATTTTTTTAATATTTCGACAACTGTATTTAGCATTCCGCACTACCTGGCAACAAATAAAATTTAAAAATATTCATTTCGAACACAGAAAAAAAAATTCAACCGCGGTGCACCATTACGCGTTTTGAAAACTTGCCGATGTATCAAGCTATGCGTTATTCGAAATCTAACTTTAATCTATGAACTATAAGGTCGAATTCACATCAGCACTATCGCGATTTTCCTATGGTTTTATTTGCGGTACAAATAATAAGCGAGTGAGGTATTCGATTTTCAATTTTCTTGTGCATTTAAAATGGGACGCCATTATTGTAATGAAAGGCGGGAATTTTATTATTATTCAAGACTGCACGTTCTAAATTGTCCTGGGTCATTTCATTATGAAGCTTTATCCGTGCTTTTTCCAAGTTATTTCTCCATTGCAGAACCGCGTGCAATTGAATTATTCAAAAGCATTTTATTTTTGTTACCTACTTTAATATAATAATACATAGGTCCAGGGTCTATACTATTTTTTTTTTTCAGTACAGTCACTTAAACTGTCAAACACCAAGCGGTCACCGGTGACCGCAACCTATTGTTCTATAATTGTGTCTACAAAACCGGTACTCGACGAGTTAAAAGAAAGTAAACATTTTATTAAGAAAACTTGGTTCATCAAAAAACGACATTAATCATCTAAACTAGAGTATTTCGCTCAGAATTTATGATTCCATAGTAATGGAGCACTATTCAGGATAACGTAATCAAAAACACAGACGAAAAAAATAAGAATTGTAGCAGCAAGAGTCAAAAGTCTGGCACAGGGTATACTTATTCGTTAATTACACATAAGTCATTGTAATTTAAAAACTATATGACTTAGAATTTCTTTAATATTTTCCTGATAACTGCTAGAACCCTGTCGATCACCTGTATTAAAATCTTTAATATCTCTTCCTATTTCAAGGCAGTAGGTATTTTACAATTACAACACCGAAAACGTGGTTAAAACAAAGGAAGTTTTCTTAAGGCTAGTATTATTGGGTACTAGCCAAATAAATGAATAAGTGACACCGCAAAATGATCAATAAATTGAGTGCATTATGGGCAGTTAACCTAACTTCCATTTCATATTTCATCACCTGTCTAATCTCAACTGTGAGAGTCTATATAAAGACAACAATAATAATGTAGAACAAAAATACCTTTAATTCTTAAATTTCTATATCAGGTTTTAACCAGATTCAACCGAATACAAGCATTTTACATAGCTCGAGTGGTATAGTGATATCTGCCATTCTAACTAGGGGTAGGGTAGACATTCTTGTTAAACCGTTGGCAGACTTTCTGAGCTGACCACCTATAACGAGTGTCATAGAAGTTTATGGGACAACTGGGACGGGCTTAAGCGCTCTCTCAGCTCTCAGGCACGGAGGAGTCTTGAGACGAGAGAATGGCCACCTATATCATAAATAATACTTCCAATTTAACGCTGTCATGGATCTTGATATTGCGACCACTCAGTGGAAGACGGGTAACAGCATCCTCTAAACTTTAGATGACCTAAATGCGATATTTAACTCGTCGAGTACCGGTTTTGTAGACACAATTATAGAACAATAGGTTGCGGTCACCGGTGACCGCTTGGTGTGTGACAGTTTAAGGCCTTGCCGAGTGTGGGGAACTATAAGAAAAGAAGAAGCAGTGGACTAATAATTCTGGTTGATGATAAACGTTCTGAATTCTATAATTAAAACACCGTCATAAAAACCTTTAAAATAGAGAAATATGTAGATTTTACTCAAATGTGGTACCTCCATAAAACTTATTACGGACCACCATGAAAATGAAAGATGAGTTTGCTGTCTTTTCAGTGGCTTTAACTTGAAGTGTCTCATATCTCATAAAAACTGAAAGAGAAAATATACAAAGGAGGTTGTCAGCTGTTCTATCGTAATGAGAAGAATTTTACAACTTCCAGGGAAGTGAATGGAAACAAACATGATTGTTTTGAGCTTTGAAACAACATTCTATTCGTTCGTGTTGACAAATCGTAAATACATAGTTACAAATTAGAATGTTAGTATTTTTGTTTTACATTCTGGAGGTCTTTTTTTAAGGGGGGAAATCATCGAATAACTGCTCCCGCCTGGGTGAGGCGGGAGAGAGTGTCAGACTCTTACTGACTAAAAACCACCCCGTTCCTTCTCCTGCACGTCGAGCTGGAGCCCCGGTTACCCGTTAGGTTCTCCGGGACTATTCTGGAGGTTTAAAATTAATAGTTTAATTAAAAGTCGTTTATTAGCAAGACCGTGTTATGTTGATGATTTACTAGACATGTTTTAAGGAAAGTTTTGGTTTAAAAACATTATTAGATTTGTAGGTATACAATTCGTAAATAAACGATATCAAAAAGAATCTTTGATTACATTATACCCATTAACCTAAGTGTCTTCAAGGCCCGAGCTACAGAAATATTAAAAAAATATTCTTTATTATATCTATAGCCAGAGCGGATAGGTTGATTATGCGTCGAAGTTCTGTATTGTAGACTGCGTCATGGTTTACCACCAGGCCAGGTAGTGGTCAAACGTCGGCCCATCAAATATATGAAAAAAAAAATTCAAGCTGACATGACATTCCTAAAAATAAGTAGGTACTTACTACTTTCGTGTTCAAAGTTATCATAATTTCACATAACCGCTTCCTGTCTCAACTTAGACCACACGTAAACTAGAGTGGGGGGAGACAAAACTCGTAAATATGTCGGGTTTTATAGTAGCTCGCCCCTACAGAACCCCTCAGTAGTAGGGGTGCTGGCAACCCTGAGTTTTTACTTGTTTTCTACAATCGCTGTTTGTTAGCCACGATTTCTTGATTGCATATCCGTATTAGGGATGTGAATTTGCGTGTAATCGGTTTAATTTGACGTAGTCGGGGAGATGAGCCGGTTTTTTACGAGAACATGTGGGATGGGATATTGTTTAGGTGTAATTTGTCGGTATCTACTGATGAATATCTAACTGATGCTTTTGATAGTGTAGCTTATTGTGCGGACCTTGTGGAAACTAGAACTTTCCGTGCGTTTAGGCGCTTTTGCCATACCTATTATTCAAAGCAAGTATAACAGCTCACACATAGGACCCACTTAGTTTTTTTTCAAATTTCCGTGGTGCTTGGCGACTGGGCTTCACCCAGTTGCACAGTCTCTTTTTGTGGCTTTAGGCTTAATATTCATTCTGTCGTTACTAAAAAAAACTATCATTTTTTTTCTTCTCCTCTTATAATATCTTCTGATTCACTTCGTTGCGGGAACCAAGACAGTTACTCATGTCCCTGAGACGCGCCGGACTTCAGTGTTCCGGTGTTTTCATGGGTGTATCTACTGTACATGATCCTCGCTTACAGGAGTTGCAGCGATATTGGAAGGTTGTGGCGGGCTTGTCCTGATGCTTTTGATATCCTTACTCAGATATTCTTACAATATGTATGGTACCTATATTTAAGTATGGTTTCTTCCACGATACCATGAAAGTAGGTACTTATTATTATGTTATAATTTTTGTGTCTGAAGGCAATTAACTATAGTTGTTAGTTATTTATATTTTAAGTTGTACATATTTATTCAATTAAAATCTATCATAAGGTTGAGAATACTTATAATATGTTTAGTTTCGTTCTTTGACGCCCAGTTTTAAGTACACAAACAAGCGTTATAGTTATTTTCATTAAGTAGGGAATTATGATCAAGGCCCATTTTTAAAAGGTCTATCATTTTTAAAAGGCCCATTTTTAAGGACTATCTATACATTAAAACTACACAATATTTTCATTTTAAACTAGTATGTTTCCAATAAAACAAAACTTAAAAAACAAAATTCCTAAAGATAAAAATACCAGGTGTTAAGTCTAATTAAAGCAAGAACAACGGGTTTACTTGTTTATCCATTTAGCCGAGTGGATAAAATTGCAAGATTCCAAGTTAAAAAAGGTTACGGCAACTATAATCTAGTAATTGCATTACAAATTACTACTCAATTTCATTGGTTAATTTGGTTTTAAGGTTGATAATCGTACAGCAATAATTAGTACTGGATTTCTAAAGAAACTAGTCTGCTAAATCGCCTGTCAGTCCACTGCTGGCTTATGCGTTTCTTCTGCATATCTTGCAGATAGCAGTTCGAAAGGTTTAAGCTATAGAGTAGAATTCTTTGCCATTCTGTGTTTCCTAAAGGGGTATAACTATAACCTGGGTGTCTTCAAGGCCCAAGTGAATATGTTGCTTATGAGCAGTCATGCTCTATCGTAGGCCGCATCATCGCTTACCACCAGACAAGATAGTGGTCAAACGTCAGAGGGGGGGTCCTTTAATCGATACTTTAATAATGACACGAATAAAAATCTTTACCAAGTTTTTAATTAATTTCGTAATATTTCAAAGATGCGCTCAATTTAGTAGACTACAGAATGAAATGCTTGCACTGCATATATAAATAAATAACCTAACCTAACTAATATTTGTGAGAGAACCTAACAGTTTACCGGGGCTCCGGCTCGAAGTGCAGGAGTAGGAACGGGGTGGTTTTTAGTCAGTAAGACTCTGACACTCCCTCCCGCCTCACCCAGGCGGGACCAGTGTTTGCATTTATTTACCAACCTATTAGAAAGATTTTTACCACTCTTCAGGAGCTAAAAAACTTTAAAATTAAATGCGACCGAAGCCGCAAGGCTAAAGCTTATTTTTCCTACCATATCTGTCTTCAACTGGCTGTCAGCTGGAACACCTATTTATTTGCGAACCCACAAGGAACTTATTTAACTTAATTAATAGAATACAAAGGCTGTATGCCATAAATCATAGGCCTATAGTGATAGTTATAATTAGTTTCGTCTCCCGTGGCGATGATTGAACCATAGACGGTCATAAAGCAGGGCGGCAATCGCAGAAGGATCATTAATATGAGATTTATGCGAAAAATATTAAAGTACCTAACTAACGCAGATCGTTTCAACGATATTATGCGGAGATACTGGCATGATACTGTTTTTAATTTTTTTTTATCCATGGGAGCGTTTGACCGTTATCTCGCCTGGTGGTAAGCTATGATGAGGTCTACGATGTAATACTGTTTCTTTATTATTTTTACCTTATTTATAAACGCCAATTGTTTGTCTTTCAAGGAATATTTCTATTAGTAAAAACATAATGCTTGATATTCTCGACCCAATATTTTTAAGAGTACCATCGTCTAGGTACTAAAAGTAAAATTGTGTATGTTTTAAACTGTCAAACACCAAGCGGTCACCGGTGACCGCAACCTATTGTTCTATAATTGTGTCTACAAAACCGGTACTCGACGAGTTAAGCATGTAATGTAATCGTGTAAGCGGGAATCGAACCCGCCACAAGTTGCGCGGCAACCGGTTGCTGTGTCCGTCGAGGAAATTGTCGGTCCTTCGACCCTTGATGATGAGGGGTCTGGGCACGGGCCCCGAGTGCCCTTATGGTATAGACGATTCTGCTAGTCGGTAACTATGTGTTAAAACTTGACCTTCTGTTTTGTACCTGTCATGCGGCACAGGCGCCGTAGGCGTAACCAAGGGCAGGCTACCTGACAAAATGGGGTCAAAAAACAAAAAAATATAATAATTAACAAATATTTGCTAAACGATTCCGCCGTCTGACCGGAATTTTTCGAAATAATCACCGTTTTTTTTAACGATTTATCATAAGGTTAAAGATCCTTTGTCTTTCGTTAGATAAATTTACGAAAAAAGATAAAAACTTCTTGCTTTGTAATTTAAAAATGAATAGGAGATAGTGCTAATGAGGTTTTTTATATTAGGAATGCAGTATTAGTTACTTGTACCGGTGATTGCTTGGGATTTAGTTATTAGAAAATGTAAAAAATGTAATTGACAAAAGAAGCCCACTCAACGTCAATAGATGTCTCGGTAGGCCCAGAAGACGAACGACGACGACGAACTGGACATCTATGACAAGGTTTGGACGCCGAAAGCTTTACATAGAGGGAAAAGAACGGTAGGGAGGCCTTTGCCCTACAGTGGGAAAATAGTCCAGTTGGTTAAATAAATACAATCATTAGTTGAGCTTGATTTAAAAATTAAGGTAAAGATTTTTATTATGAGTATGACTAGTTGAAAATTTTATACAAAAGATGTTCTAAATGTTCATATTGTATATTGTTAATTATTTATCTATCATGCAAATTGATGAGTAACTTTTTAATTTTTTTTTTTTGCAGTCAAGGGTCAATGCATCTAACAAAATGGTCCTATTCAGAGGCTTACTTTGAAACATCAAATTTGGATTTTTTAGCAATTTAAGTAAGTGACCATTATAAGTAATCATTTAATTTATTCTTTACACTAAATGTAAATAAACAGCAGTTACAAGGAGAAACAATCAATAAAAATTATTAAAACATCAAATACATTGATAACTCTCTTTGCAATATTATAGTCATTTGTTTCCCTGAATGGATTCAATGTAGTATTTCTGTCAATCCATTATGCACCAGTACATGATATTTTTTTCAAATCGACAAGCCCGCCACATCCTCCCAAAACTGCTGCAACTCCTGTAAGCCAAGATCTACAGTAGATACAACCATGAAAACACTGGAACACTGAAGTCCGGCGCGTCCCAGATATTTATAATATTTATTGATTAATTTTTCATTCCCATGGGATAAAAAGAGCTTATGTGATACACCAGACTATAATATACCCCTGTTTTAAATTTGAACCCCATCACTTTAGCCGTTTTCATGTAAAGGAGTAACAAACAAATATACAAAACATAGTATTTATAATATTAGTAATATAGGATGGTAGGATTACAGAATGATTGTAGGTATGTAAAATAGTAATTACTTATCTCTGGTCTTTAAAAGAACTCTTTCATTCTGCTTTTTTATTTTTTAATACTTATTATTCAAATAAAATACCAAGAATGAATGTGAAAAAAAGTGTACACAATTTTTATTTTTAACCTGTATCTTTAATAAATTGGGTATTGAATACATAATTGTTTTGCCAAAATTATACCAAAGTAGCTTCTTGTTATTATGACAATAAAATTGCACTGTCATATTTGGGTAATATAATAATTATTATCATTGATAATATCTAAAATGAGCAGTAAAGATTAAATGAAGCTACCTACATTCATTTTGATAAAATTGTTATTTTGATTCCAATAATAATATCAATCTATCACAGATTAGTTAAACTATATGTGATATTATTGTTTATTTTCAAGTGTTTCTAATTAGAAATCTTCAAAGACTTGAACATTAACTTTAACACTTGAACATTAACATTGCAAAAGTTGAGTTCTATCCAGAAATTAATAAAATTAAAAAACAAAGGAGGAGGTTAAAACTAAACAATCGGCATTCTAAATTCAAAACGAACCATAAAACACGCGTCTCCGTTCATAATAACATCAAACGAGGCAAAGGCATTCTCGGAACGTCCGCACACTGTCAACATCAAAGCGTGTCGGCTTCCACAGAAACGTGCAACAAATTATGTATTCTAACAAATTCCCATTAATATCTGCACGAAATGACCGTAAGGACCTATAAATAGCTCACCAAAGGGCTCAAAGGATGCGACTTACCGGATAGGAAGAGCATAACCACCAGGATCGGACGCATCACGCACATTTTAACGCACTTTATCACATAAATTTGCAACACTTGCTAATAAAATTCGTTTTTTAACTTGCACACGTACATTTTTTGTTTAGATTATGTTAGGCAGGCATGTTTGGTTGTAGGAATATGGATGTAAACAATATACAGGGACCACAACCGGCCGGGCGGCGCCGTCGAATACGATGAACAAAGTTGGGCAAACGAACTCGGCGGCCGGAGCTTCAAAGCCGCTTTCACAGACAGCACACATCATTACAATAGCGTTTCATGGACGCACACTAATGCAATTTAGGGATTCCAGACAGCGGCTAACTTCATTGCATATTTGACAGTTCATTCACACCGGCTTGATCGGAAATGTCTTTTTAATTACTTTTAGTTAATTATTATATTAAATCACAAGTATTTCTTTTTACGTCATTATTTTATACGAATTTTGGGTGTATTTTTTAAAATTGCAAGTCAATAATTAATTCATCCTTTTTTATAATAATTGCATTCGTTTTGCTATTACTCAACAGATGGCATTAATAGATTTAATCTTGGCTATTCGATAACAGATGGCCATAAAATTATTACATTTTGGTACTAGATGGCTTTACTAGTATTACTATTTTATTTTATAGCTTTTTTCAACGTCAAAATTTGTATCCCGAATAGATTTCGCATTTGAGCGGCTGCTGAGTGTTTTTAGATTCGACTCCCGGTTCAGGAAAAACATTATGGCGATTTTCTAAGAAACTCCAAATATAAATGTTGAAAAAGTGCGTGTTTAGTCTTAGACCATTTTAATATGAGAGTACCTCTAAGGTCTACCCACCCCTTTGGGAATTAAATAGAATGACGTGTTTAGTTTTTAATTAAAATAATCTGTAAATGTGTTTGCGCACTCTTCTAGTACCTACCTAATTGAAAGAGTTTAATGTACTCATAAAAAAGTAAATGCTACATAAAAGTTTATCAGCGTAAATCTCATTATATTAGTACTAAGGAAACGGAGCCACTAGCGTGTTTTTCATCAAATTATTATTCTTTATACGACATAATGTTGCCAATCAATAAAATACTTGTATCAGAAACTATTTTTAAGATATTAAAAAGAAAAAACGCTATTGGTTGAGTTTCCTTGCTGTGCAGTTTAGATACTAGTGTTTTCTGGTTACAGAAACTTAAATTTTTATTTTGTAACTAGCTTCTGCCCGCGACTTCGTACGCGCAGTTCCGTTTTCTCCCGTTCCCGTAGGATTTTCAGGACTTTTTCTGTCATAAGAACCTTCTCCTGACAATAACAAACACAACAAAAAAAATCAGCCAAATCGGTCCAGCCGTTCTCAAGTTATGGCGTGACAACGGGAAATGGGTTTCATTTTTATATATATAGATACCTCGCGGCTGAGTGGTCGCAAGTGCGACTGCCGGGTAAGGGGTCTCCGGTTCGATTCCCGGGTCTGGCAAAGTATTAGGTATTGGGTATTTAAAAAAAAATCTCAGTAGTATAACCGAGTCTAGAATAGTGCCCGGTATATAGCAATAGACTCACCCTCTATTACATGGGTGGGACTTATAACACAAATAGTGAAAAATGGGTGTTACATTGTACAGCGGCATTAAGTTCCGTAATGTACACCTCTGCCTACAGGATAAAAGGCGTGTTTAAAATTGTTGTATAAGAAAAAAAATATTATAAATAGATACTTAATTTCAATTTAACTAAACAAATTCATTTTAATCCCTAAAAACACGATATCCTCCAGACAATACAAATACAAAGCTACAATAAAACCACAAAAATAATTTAAACATTCTTTTTATTGCTAAAATGATGCTTCGCAAATGTTTGCCCGACCATCATCGGAAACACTAAAGTAGCATCCGCATACAGTTTCACCGGAGTTGCATTCGGTCTGATCTTGCCCCAGGACACTGCTTCATCAGGTCTCGCACCTGCATCGCTTCCATCAAACTCGCTAGCAGTATTAATGTACACTGCGAAGTCTGCTCCGTTCCTCATGAGATTAGCATTACAAATATGGTGTTTTATAACTCCTCCTCCTAAAATTATCATACCCGTATTATTAGCTTTTACAGCCATAGTATTCAGCCTCCTTAAGTCACTTAAAATATCTATTATAAGTCCTGGCCGCTTATAAGAATGAAAGTACATCATATCGCCTAAAGATCCATCAGTTAATGCCGGACTGAAAATGGGAATATTGTTTTTCCAAGCCCAGTAGCATACTGAGCTCTCGTCATTAATTTTCTCGCCTAACTTCGCTATAATTCTCGATGGCGTCCACACAGTACCATTTTGCATCTGTTCATCAAGCATTTCATCGAGTATTGGGGTTACCCATTCCTCAAATCGGCAGTAGTTATCATTTGGGACTAATAAGTTGCCGATTCTGTTGATGCCGCGGGTCCTTAACATTTTCCCGCTCAAATTGAAGTCTCCAACGTATGTGGGAGCGAGACATTTGATGAAATCTTCTTCAACACCCCCAGCAGTTGTCACAATACAGTCTACAAGCTTGTTTTTCACCAAAAACCGCAGCGTGTCACGTAATCCTGAGGAAATCATGTTCGAAGTATATCCCAGGAATATAGTGCAGTTAGTTTTCTTCTTGATAAACACGTCTTCTTCGTACGGGTCGCTTGTTTCTTCAGTCAAAGCAACGGACCGACATTTTAACATTTTATTGATTTCTTGCACTGCATTGCCGAAGTTGGTGGCTTGGAATCCTGAACGGGTGTAGCTCTCGAGTATTTTGTTGAAGTCAATGCCACTTTCCCAGTCGTAACCTGACACGATGGGAGTTTCAGCTGGTAGCTCCTGGCTTGGGAGTAAAACTGCGTTTACGGCGACATTGGGAGCGAGGTTGGTCGGCTTACTGATAGCTGAAGTTATATCCATACTTATTAATTGTATATTTTAATTAAAATATCATAATAGAGTCCCCTGATAAACAGAATACGGATATTTTCTGCAGTGTTTTTACGACTAATTGGATTGTCAAATCAAATTCTCGTTGTTTTCAATGTCAATGTCAGATGTCAGTGTGGTAAGATGGCAACTGTCAAATGACTACGTTTTGTTTTATGCAGACAATTTTTTTTCCATGAATTTTAATAAAACAAAATCTATATCTCTATCCATTTCTAATTATGCGTAATAAAAATGGTTTGATGACCACCAAAATAAAATTTTGAATGAAGTTAGCTTAGCTTAGTAGCGGGGCAACTGAAATGTGTGTTGCGGTTTTTTTCCCACTCAAAACAACATTTTTTTTCCTCTCCTTAACAAATTATTGAGGTATTATTTGTTATGTTTGTAAACACACCTATGATTCAGTAACCAAACGTAGCGTGGGATGATGTTTAAAAAACTACTTTCATTCAACCAGGAATGTACCTAGGTACTTACGAAAGATTATCCTTCCTGAAATGAAAGTGATTTGGAAGTTGGATGATACATATCCTCAAACCATGACATAACCCTTCCGATTACAAAACCAAAATCTAATAAAATTTCTGCATTATTCATCCGCCTACTTTCCTAGTCAATTTCATTGTTTTTACTAACGCCTGTCGAGTTGTGATTGATTACCTTTCAACACCAGTGTTATGGGGTACCTATTAATCAAAATTACGAAACACATAGGAAGACATTACGCAGAAATTAGAATCACTTAGCGATGGATGATATAAAATCTCTCAAGTAGGTCTTGTAAGTTTAATTCAAAATATATTTTTTAACTGCTTACCTACACTGCAGTTTTATATCTATATCTTTTTTTTAAGGGGGGAAAATCATCGAATGATTTCTCCCGTCTGGGTGAGGCGGGAGGGAGTGTCAGACTCTTACTGACTAAAAACCACCCCGTTCCTTCTCCTGCACGTCGAGCCGGAGTCCCAGTAACCCGTTAGGTTCTCTGCGACTTATATTCATCTCTAGGAACTTAAACATTATTTTACAACATAAAAAATTTTTTTTTTCTGTGTTTCTATATAAATAAAAATGAATTTCCGTCCGTTAGTCTCGCTAAAACTCGAGAACAGCTGCAGTGATGTTCGTGTTCGTGGAAGTCCAGGGAATAAAAGCAGTGTCTAATATTTTTTTCATTATCTAACTGACGAATTACATTTTTAATTTTCATATAATATATACTACCCTTTTCCCCCTTCACAACCTACAAACCACAAAGGGTGATGCCACATTATTATCAGATGTTTTAAGCTTCTCTATAAAGACTGGCATTAGATGTTTGTACTACTTCGTTATTACTTGGGATTATGGATTAGCGTGCTTTTCGAGCCGCGGCAGTTTCATTGTGCAATGTAAGTATATGTTTTGGTTGTTTAGTTTTTAGTTTTGAATATTATCAGTAAGTACCTATTTCAGCAGTAGCACAATGCTGTGTGTATTTAAATGTATCAATCATCAACAGCCTATAAGTACATACTGCTGACCAAAGGCCTCTTTTCGCACGGAGAAGGTTTGAGCATGCATCACCACGCTTGCTCAATGAGGGTTGGCGATTTCAAACTTATAGTTAGAAATTATAAGCCCAGATTTCCTCACGATGTTTTCCTTCACCATTTGTCAGTGGTGGCTAGATAATCTTACAAAGTAAGTACCTATATACAACATGTACCGTAATTAACGCACACCCTCAAACACCCCAATTAGAATATTATGTTATAATCATAATACATACACTAAATTTTTAATTTAACATGTATATGCATCCTTACTGGTCTTTTCATAAGGTTTATTTTTCTTTATTTTGTATTGAATGATAGAATTTGTATGAATACAAATAAAACTGCGATTTTAAAAGTCTTATTGCTTTGACTTACGGTTCATTTCGATTTGTTTTAACAATACAGGGTTAATATGACAATAATTTCCGTAGTTTTAATTATTTTTGGGATCAAAAATTACCTATACTAAAAATTAAAAGTATTATCGATTCAGTTAACGATTCTGAACAAACTATTTTCAGGATGTGCGTTATTTAAGTTACATGTTGTATAATTCGGAAAAAGGCACATTGGTACTTGTCGTTGGTAGGTTCCGACCCTCCGGGCCACCACGACTTGTATTTAGTGACTTAAAATAATTGAACGTGTACCTATTTATTATTCACTCTGCCTATTCTTCCGAAATGT